CAAAGGGTCAGACATGATTAAGCAACTAAATAACTCTTGCCACCACTGTAGGGATACAGCCATGAGAAAAACATGGCTTCTGCCCCAGTGGAGTTTATGTAAACACAGGTAGTAAGGAGATAATCTTTGTGTTATTAGTGCTACCAAGGGTAAATAAAGGGTGTGATGGGAGGCCAGAAGAGAAGTTGCACACCCAGACTTGGATATGAAAAAAAAAAAAAGGGAAACCAGAGTTGAGTCATTAAAAATTAGCACAGCAGAAAGAAGAAACTGTACACCAGAGAAAGCTGGATGTACAGAAGCCCAGAGGCAGGCACAGGAAACTTACTCAGAGTAGTTGCATTTGGCTGGACTGCAAAATTGGAGGTGAGGGTAAGAAATGGTAGTGTGTTGGGGGAGGAGGGGCAAGAACCAGGTTGAATTTGGGGCCTCCCTTTGGTACCTAGAGATATATCTTCCCAGAATACATTAGGTTATGTGGCAGACTTTTCATGACATTCTTCGATTTTCCTTCCACCTGTAGCCCATAAATAGCTCTTACTGGGGCTAGGCTGTTGAATCTCCTATCAGATCTCTTCATCTGAGTATTTCTCAAAGCTTCCTGGGCCATCATGTTGCTACTTAGCTGAGAGAGAAGGGATAGGCTATCAACAAATCAAATTGCAATTCTTAGCAATTTCCCCAAACTGAAAACAAATTTCCATCATCAGCTTGGGATTGATTAAATGAAGTTAAATTAAGTAGGTTACACACAAATTCTGTGGAACACTCTGCAGCTATTAAAAAGGATAAAAGAACCTACAACAATTTGAACAGGAAAAAAAAGTAGGTTTACAAAGGAATAGACAGAATGTGTTCATTTTAAAATATATAATTTTGTTATGTGTGTCTTACAGAAGGTTATATTCCCAAACTGTAAATCATGGGCGCTCTTGGAGAGTGAGATGGGGAGTCAAACTTTTAGTTGCTACTCTGTGTACCTCTCTATTCCGTTTGACTTCATTCAGCTTTCATGTTAACTTTCAAAATTGAAAAACAGTAAATGATATTTCCAGTTGCAAGAAGAAAAACTTCAAAACAGAGTAGGTATGCCCCTAACCCTGTCATTCATCAAGTCAATCAGTGTAGACAAATGAGGAAGACAGTAGGGTCTGACTAGCTCTTGGTCATGAGGCTGAATAGCAGTTTTGGAGAAAAGACTCCAAAAACAGCCACTGGAGTGAATAAGGCAACCTTACAGCTTGACACTTCTCCTCACATATGTCACTTCAAGGCTCACTATGTGACCCCTTGAAGATATCATTCATTTATTCTTTTATTCTTTCATTTTTCTATTTATCCATTTGTCCATCAAGCCTTTACTGAATACTCAGGCTCAGTGCAGGGTAGGTGGGAAGGTGGGAAGAGAGAAAGAAGTCTGCTTTCTGTCCCTGTCCTCAAGCTTAAGAGTACAGAGAGAACAACCAGTTTTATTTATTGAACATCTGTTACAGAACATACAACAGCTTTCAAGACAGGGTTTCTCTCCATTTTACATTTGAGGAAACAGGCTGTGATGAAATTTTTTTCAAAGTACAGTGAGGGCATGTATCTGTTAGCTACTGCTACATAACAAACCATCCAAAAACATGGTGGCTAAAAACAATAAACATTTATTATTGCTCCCAGGTCTCTGAGTCATCCATGTGTTTCATCTGGTCTTGGCTGGACTCATTCATGTGTTTGCAGTCACATGTGGGTTTGGTGACTCTCCTGATCTTCACCTGGGGTAGGCTGGCTATAGGCTAGTATAGGATGGCCTCACCTTGGATCGCTGGCTCTTTTTATCATGTATCTCACCTACACGTGTTTCTCATACCCCTCCAGCAGGCCAGCAGTGTTCTCTTGGCACTGACAAACAGAGCGAGGGCAGGTCCTCTCTTTAAGCTTGTTTGCTTCATGTCTACCAGCATCCTTTTGGCCAAGCAAGTCACATGGCTGAACCAAGCATCAGAGTGGATGAAACTATTAAAGTCAGAGGGCAAAAGAGATGGATGCAGGGGAGACCATGATAAGGTTCATCCAGGGAGTTAACACAGGACACAATGATCAATTTTTTTTGGAAAGAAGGTCTTCAAAGAGGGTACACTAGAACTGAGTATTGAAACACAAGAGTATTCACTAAGTGTGCATTTGTTTCTTAGAACTGGATGCAGGCTGGTTTTCTACAATCAATAGCAACCCAGCAGGCCTTCCTCTACTCATGACAGACAGGGTTCTATTATTTGTATCTTGGCTTCATTCCTTCTGGTCAGGCATAGAACAGCAGGCACTCAACAAATGTTCGAAGAATTGAATTAAATATCTTACTGTGAATGAGGTGTGGACTCAAACAGCTGAATCTTGAAGCCAATTGTTAGAAAGAGCAGTTTAGCATCACCACTCCCAAAACAGAAATCCTTGTATTTGGCAGTGTCTCATTCATTCCTCCCACAAACATTTCCCAAGTGTGTGTAAGCCAGGTCCTGTACTAGATGATGAATAAGACACAATACTAATTCACAGCCTGAGCTGTTGTTTAAATGGAGAAGACTAATAACCCTTTCCAATGGGCTGATATATCCAACTACTGGGGCTCTATTTTTTAATACTAACTCTTCCAGAAAAATGCACCAGGAGCTGGTGCTACACAAATTCAGAAGCCCTTTGGAACTGCACTGAGGTTCTCTGATGGTCAAGGAGACTAATGATAAAAATCTGCCTTTAAATACTGTAAGCTAAAATCCATGTCCTGCAGGGCTGAACTCTGGGGTCCCAACAAAGAACTCACTTTGAGAAAACATCCAGTCTTACTCAGAGGCATCAAACTCGTTGTGGGTCCTCAAGTCTAGGTGAGAACACAAGCCACCTTCCTCTATTTCTACAAAAGAATAAAGTGTTTTTTGTCATGTCCGTAGATTTGATATCCAAAGATTCAGATCTCCCAACTGACAGCCCATGCCCACCAGGTCTGTCCCACACGTGACAGACAATTCAGCTGTCAAGTGACTCAAGCCAGCACTTTCCCAAAACTCAGTTGAGAATGCTTTTTTTCCTAACCTGTAAGCATGCTGACAGATCTCACTTGTTTATATGTATTTTATTTTTTGACTGCACTGCACGGCTTGTAGGGTCTTCCCCAACCAGAGATCAAACCTGCAACTTCAGCAGTGAAAGCACAAAGCTTTCCAGTGAAAGCATTAGACCACCAGGGAATTTCTGAGGCTGCTGCTTTTTGAGAGGAAGAAATTCACTTTCCATTCCTCTAAACCTGTTCAACTCTATCCTTGCATATGTTAAGTCACCAAAAAAGGAATTTACCTGGACTGTATTAAGCTTAAGCTGAATTACAAGCTACAAGGTCCGTGGTTTTTAAGAGAAATTCCATGTTAATAACATTTGTGAATTTCACTGTCTCTGCATACAAATGATTTGTTTCTTTGAATCAAATGATGAGAACCACATATGCTAAGTCTCCCCCTTTTGCTTTAGCTTCCAGGAATTTTGGGATAAGTAGAGGCAGAGTTTTCTAATTCCCTGGTACATCTCTCTCACTTCCTTTATTCTGGCTTCTAATCTTTCTCTTCCATGTTTTCATTTTCTGCATCCATACTGTCCAGTATGGTAGCCTGTATTCACAAGGGGCTACTGAGCACTTGACAGGTAGCTTGCTCCAGCTGGGATGTGCTGTAAGTGTAAAGTATCTCAATTTTTAATATTGATTATATGTTGAATGACATTTTGGACATAGGGGGTTAAATAAAATATACTACTAAACCTAATTTCACCTGTTTCTTTTGACTTTTCTTTATACAGCTACTAGAAAAATTCAAATTATGTATGTGGGAAAACAAAAACTATACACATGGCCGGCATTTGTGATGCTCATTATTCTGTCAGGACAGTTCTTTTCTACAAATCATCCTTTTCCATGAGTGTGTTATTACCATTAAATATCTCAAATCATTTTGGAAAACAAGTAGTAAACGCAAAGGTGACAGTAGTGGATGGCGTGAGAAGCGGAGGTTGATGGGGACACATATTTGTCAGTCTATTTATCTTCTGTTTATGCCACATACAAACCCCTCTGGGAAAGTGTCAGCTCTCCTCTTCCCAGGTGAGCGGTGGTCTCATGGCTCTGCCCAGTCTGGAAAAATTATCAGCTTTATTTGAGCTAACAAACTGGAAAGGATCTGATAAGACAATTCACATCACATTGTAAATGACGGTAACACTGTTCACCCCTCTCAGGGGGGTATTTCCATTTTAACAGGGAACAATCCCTGAACCCAAAGGAATGAATCCCTAATGGTGGAGTTTCAGGCATCAGTGACAGGTGAGTGAGAGTGAGGCAGACTCTGGTTTTATGTGTATGTGTGTTTATATATGTACAACTACATTCAGGATGTAGCTAGTCGGTCGGTCTTTGGATGGAAAGATGACGGGGCTGACAGACAAGCAGAGAAGGTAGCAAATCCCCATCTGTGTTAGGCTGCAAAGGGCTGGCGGACACCAAATCCACTACAGGCCCTCAGGGGTTTGTTACGCAACAGAATAGCCCAGTTGATGTCATCAGAGGATAGGTATCAAGACAGCCTCTGTGGTAACTTCTGTGGAGTAGCAGGAAGGGTCTGAGTAGGATTCAGGAGCCTATGATGGCAGTCCACAGCTGACTCACTGGCTTAACTCTGGGCAAGTGCTTTCACCCTGGGGTCTCAGTTTCTTCATCTGGAAAGTAGAAGTGGGTGTTTTAACTGTCAGTGAACTCTCAGGGATGTAAAGGTGCTCGGAGAAGTAGGAAGTGCCCTACAAATGCAAGGAATCAAGATTGGGATCTTCAAGTAGAAATGCAGCCACGCAAACCTGGGGTGGAGGGCTCTGGGGAAAACCTGAGGGCTGAACACCAGTCCTTCTCTGTCCTCCCAGGCTGAACCCGGATTCCCAGGGCCCATGCTTACACCTGACAAACGATGGCCTGAGCTATGAACAAACGGAACTATATGAACACTTCGGTGCAAGAGCCCCCTCTTGACTACTCCTTCCGAAGCATCCACGTGACCCAAGGTCAGCCCCCAGAGCACAGCAAGCCACTCACCATGGCAGCAGGCTGGGTGTGGTCCCCAAGGAGAAACCAGCCTCTTACTTAAAAGCCTGAAGAGATTCTTCCTATAAGCCTGTGGGATTTTTGTCACCATTTTGGGGAGTAGTAGTGGGTAGGGAGGTTGGAGTGGAAGAATCTGGCCTTTTAAAAAATCAGCACATCTGAAAGGAACCAAGGGAGCTTTTAGGGTAACTGATGCTCGTCAAAAGAATCCAGGCTATGGCAGGAAAGTCAGGTGGAAGAAAACTGGGGAGCTAGTCTATCAGCTGACAGTTTTATTCTCCATTTCTTACTTCGAGAGAAGAGACTAATGGAAGAAAAATACAGGCTGCTTCAGCATCCCAGTCAACAGGCAGAACCTACTCTCCTGTCTCAGAACACAAGCCTGTCCTCCTGATCACTGGTAGAAACATGCACGGTCTTGTTACTAACAAACTGGCATGTTTCCAGTCTAAATAGTTATTGACAAATTTTATATTCACTCTGGTCATATCCAAGTTTATTCCATTATCACCCACACTTGTTGCATGTTCCAGCACTGCCCACGCTCATTTTATCTTTCAGTGTGTTTCTAAGGGGGCAGCTAGTACCTCTCAGGAGGGGACAGAGGGAGGCTTCAGCAAGATCATATTCTCAAGGTAATAAGCTTCTTCCCAGGGAAGTTCTTCTGTCTTTGTTATCTGCTCTCATAAACACATCAGCACACCTGCCCTCACAGAACACAGGCTGGCCTATCTTAGACGCATTACCTGGCTTTGGTTGTCTCTCTTAGGTAATCAGTGGCCACCTTTAAGTTCAAGAAGCAGACGAATAGTTATCAAGGATACTGGATACTACTTGGGTTTGGGTTCAGGGTACTTACAACTTGGGTTGACATCAGTCACAACAGTAACTCCTGCTTGTTCTCTCTCACATACCCGCTGGCTGTGATCTTCCCTTCTTATGCACACCGTCACTTCTGACTAATGGGAGTCCAAGTTCTACAGGGTTTTAGCTGAAATAATGGCTATGCACAAGATAGCTGAGGTGACAGAGGAAGAAGGAAGTATGACTCCTACCTAGCCTGGGAATTCCTAGCTCTGAGTGAGGAAATGTAGTTTTGCCCTCAATGGTGTCCTCAGAATAAGGAGAGAGGAGTTACCATGACCAAGGATAACTGCACAGCACAAAACGTAATCTGTACAGATGCCCTTTCAGTACTTAAATATTGAGCAGCTAACTATGATTAAGCACTTCTACATATCTGTGTGTAGGTCTGTACACATATGCCAGGCATGGTGCTTCTAGCTAAGTGAGGGAGGGAGAAGCATAGAGGTACATCTTAGCCCCAAAAGGCCAGTCCCTTCAGGTTCTCCACAGCACTTGGTGTATTTACTTAGAATTGGGGTTAGAGGACAGGGTAGTTGGGGGGAACTTGGTATACAATTTCCTGAATTAATATATGCAGCATAAAATCTGAAACAACAGTGACTTTAGAAGGCAACCAGTCTACCACCTCCAATGCACAGTCCTCTAACTACTCCGACAGTTTAGGGAGTCCCACACCACACAGCTCCCAACCCTTCCATTACAGGGTGAGGAATGACATACAGAAGTTCTTCACATCAGACTAACTCCTGCCCTCTGGGGACACATGGGGAAAGTTGCACGGCAACCCTTCAGGAAATATGAAGACAGATTATGTTTTCCTCAGATCATCCTGGAGCTAGACAATCCCCAGGTCTTCAAATGTTGGCATTTTGGTCCAGTTTCCAGCCCTGTCTTGGCCTACTCTGAACAGGGCAGCTTTGATCCTCAGGCAATGCAGTGCTATGATGGGAGTCTGAGTCTCAGTAACCCATAGCAACATGGACTCCCTCCTCCACCTGTGATAACAGCAACCCCAGGCAGCCTCAAGTTTTAGGCAAGGCCATCCCCAGAGGCTCCCCCTGAGCTAGGGATCAGCCCACGCTTGGTGGTATTCCCAAGCCACAGCCTCATCAAACTGGAGACTAGTCCATATGCAGGTTTATTTTGATCTTAACTTTTACTCTTCTTTCATCTCAGGGTTCAAAGTCAGGAGATGTGAGGCAAGGTGTCAGGGTTAGTTTATTCATGAGCTAGGCTACTCTCCTCCAGGACAGGACCCTTCTGCCACCTCCCCCCAACCTCAGGCCCACCTGTGGGTTCTGCTCACTCCAGGACTAAGACAGAGAGCCATCTGGTGGATGCTGCCTGACCTGCAGCTGAGTTCAAGTTGGGTAGGGGTGGAAGAGAAGTGTGTCCAGTCAGAGCTGAGGGAAGGTTGAAGACAAGCTGACCAGTTCAGAAAATACTAAATATTTCCTTTCTGGGAGGCAGCTTTAGACAAGTAACTAAAGGCATAATAGGGACAACAGGAAACATCTAATCACCTCAGCTGAGCTGATGAGTGGTTCTGGCTCTGCCACAACCTTATCTGTTGGAAAAAAAAAAAAAGGGAAGGGGTCCATATAGATGGGTTCTAAGATCACTCTTTAAATAAAAAAAAGATTGCTCTATTTCCAACTCTCCTCCTCAAACTTTCTGAGGGTGCTGTTTATATTTCCTTACCTTTCATTTGCTCCTGAACTCACTCCAATCTAGCTTGCCCCCAGGCCCTTGTCATTTCATTGAAACAACCCTCAACAGTGTCACCAAGGACTTCTGAGTTGCCAAAATTACCTTTCAGTTTATTTCCGTGAACTCCTACAGACTATGGATTCCCTGAGCATCTTTAAAACTATCCTGTCCTGGTTCTCCCTACCCTACCCTGGTGATTCATTGACTTCTCTCCCACCTTCCCAACCAGGCTTCTCCTTTTCATCCCACATCAGCCCATTGGACTGACATTTCCCCAAATACCAAGAAACTGAGCGACACCCTTGAATATTATTCTACCCTTACTTCTAGTCAACCGTCAAGTCATGCTGTGCGTCCCCTTCATCCTTGCTTGGATGACTTAAAAGAGCCAAAATGGAAACTTCAGAGTGATCTCTCATTTCTGAAAGATGTGAATCATCTTTTGCTTTCAGCCCCTCAGTGGCTTCCCACCTCCCACAGGATAAAGTCTAAGACACTCAACCTGGTCTGCAAGGCTCCTTGCCCCCTTGCACAGCACATACACATGTGCCCCTGCTATCCCATACCTCTGTGCCTTTGCTAGTGCTCTTCTCACCTTTTCCACTCTTCTTTGCCTGATTAATGCCTGGGAAACTTCCCTGAGCTCTCAGACTGGGTTAGGAGCCCCTCTCCTGTGCTTCCACACTTTAAAGAGCATTTATCATACTATATTGACTGTTTGCTTTCATTCTGCTCACGTGACCTCCTCCAAGACACAAACATCTGCTTCACCGCTGCTCTATTACCATACAGAGCCTCTTGCTCCTTTTGTTCACCATTGTATGTCCAGTATGACGCACATAGTTACTATTAACGGAAGAAGGGGGGGGACATCTAGAGTGTGAAATTCTAGAAGTGAAATTCTATAGGGTCTGCTGGCGGATAATTCTGGATTTTGTGCTTTAGCATCTTGGCTCAGGTCTAACATCTCTTGTTCTTGGTTTCCTCATCTATAAAATGTGCCTCCCTCCAATTCCCACAGGGGTGGTATACAGAGAACCCAATGACAGTCGACATGAGCACGTGACCCAAAACAAGAGCTTGGGATGGGAAGTCTTTGGCCCTTAATCCAAGCTCCCTCTAACCGCTGGGGCCTGTGGGACAGTGCATGCAATTGCACAAGACACAACATGGGGTTATGGCCCTACCAGCTCCTCTAGCTACAAGTCCTCCCAGCTCTGTCCCTTCCCACCCTCCAGAGCCAGAAAAGCAAAGATAACACACCCAAAGCTCACTCTGTGCCCACAGATCTGTTAAGCGAGGAGCCCCGGACAGGGCTACGACCAGTAAGGCACGCGAAGTCGGGGAAGTCAATGACCCAGTCCCTGTGGTTAAACAACAATGTCCTCACTGACCTGAGAGACTTCAACCATGCGGTTTCACAGCTCCTGGAGCATCCAGAGAACCTGGCCTGGATCGACCTGTCCTTCAATGACCTGACTTCCATTGATCCTGTGAGTCCAGTCAGGGCGGGTCCGAAGCCACATTGTCCAGCCCCCAGCCTCTCCACCTCCCACGTTATCAAGGAAGTAGCAACGCAACATGGTGCTGTGCAAAGCGCATGGCTGTGGGCTCACACAGTTACAGGTTCAAATTTCAGATTTGCCTCTTACTGACTTTGTTTTCTTTTGGTTTTTTTTTTTTTTTTCCATTTATTTTTATTAGTTGGAGGCTAATTACTTTACAACATTGCAGTGGTTTTTGTCATACATTGAAATGAATTAGCCATGGATTTACATGTATTCCCCATCCCCGTCCCCCCTCCCTCTCCACCCTATCCCTCTGGGTCTTCCCAGTGCACCAGGCCCGAGCACTTGTCTCATGCATCCAACCTGGGCTGTTGATCTGTTTCACCCTGGATATACATGTTTCGATGCTGTTCTCTTGAAACATCCCACCCTCGCCTTCTCCCACAGAGTCCACAAGTCTGTTCTATACATCTGAGTCTCTTTTTCTGTTTTGCATATAGGGTTATCGTTACCATCTTTCTATTCTTACTGACTTTGTGACCTTAGGTAAGCTCCTAACCTTTGAAAACCTCAACCTCCCTGTCTGAAAAATGAAGATAAATAGGCCGGCATTATAAACATTTTGTGAGGATTAAATGAAAACGTGTGAAAAGCAACCAGCACACAGCAAGCCTTCGCATAGGAGGCTAAAGTAAAATTGTAGCTTACTGGGCACCCACTGTGCTCTGTGCCGAGTTCTTCAATAGAGGTAGTCACTAAAAGAACAGCAGTACTGTCCATGAACTCAGGCTAAATGTTAAGGAACAAACAAAACTGGCCTCTTTTCATCCAAGTTCTATGTTAGGAAAGACAGGAGCTGTTGTATGACTTGGAAACTGTTCCCCAGGTGCAGGGATCTCAATTTAACCATTCTTTTAAATGCTCTGATGTACCTAGCAAGGTGCTGTCCCCTGTTGTGACAGAATCTTAGAACACTAAAGCTGAAATGGTCTTCAGTGAAGGGACAGCTAAGGCTCCAGGAGAGCACACAGGCGCCTGACAAGAAAGTGGCAGTGGTGGGACCCAGGTCCATACCACCTGCCCCTAGGATCACAGTGCTGTCAGTGTGGTGCCCCTGAACCCCTTCAAAGATAAATGAAATGCTAAAGTCAATCTCAATCCAGCATGGCTGTGAGGTGACAAGTTGTTCCCCAAACTCTTCCTTTTTGGCCACCAGTCAGTCCTGAGCACAGATACAGGGCTTTGTCCAGTCTAGCTTCCAGTCTCCTTTCCCAACAGGTCCTGACAACTTTCTTCAACCTGAGTGTCCTCTATCTCCATGGCAACAGCATCCAGCGCCTTGGAGAAGTGAACAAGCTGGCTGTCCTCCCTCGGCTCCGGAGCCTGACCCTGCACGGGAACCCCATTGAAGAGGAGAAGGGGTATAGGTAAGTCCTCTGCCCTGGATGTGGGTTCCAGCTGGGCTCCCATGAGGGAAAGGAGGAGAGCTAGGGCTAGAAACCCAACACCATCCTTCTGCTCTGCCTGGGCCGGGGAAGGGAGTAGAAGGCTTTAGGCATTTCTTGCAGCCAATCAGGATAAATCCAGTCTCCTCCAAACTCTACTCAAGTCCGTCCATTCCTTGCAGTCAGGGGAGACAAGAGTGACTGGTAGAGGGGGAAAGGGGCTCTACAAGGGGGGCCGGCCCCCAGCCCGAGTCTTCCCCACAGGCAATATGTGCTGTGCACCCTGCCCCATATCACCACGTTCGACTTCAGTGGGGTCACCAAAGCAGACCGCACAACGGCTGAAGTGTGGAAACGCATGAACATCAAACCAAAGAAGGTCCGGATCAAGCACAACGCACTCTGAGGTTCCCAGGACCCCAGCAGTCCTAAAGGCCTGAGAGTGGTCAGTTTGGTTTGACAATAAATGATTTGAACTGTTCGGCAGATCAGCTTGTCCCATGCAAAGACGCCCCCCAAATCAGGTAACCAGCATCATGTTCTGGTCTTACGTCACTGAAACGAGGAGGAAATGGAAAGAAAGGCCTGCTGGCCTCAGCTGATGGCATAGCCCTGGGAAATGTATCTAACCCGTCTGGGACCTTTGGCACTCTTTAGTTCAGATATCCTGAGGTCACAGTTGCTTCACAGAGCACCAAGGTACTGTGGAGACGCCCCAGAGGCCTCCGTGACAGGAGGCCAGGAAGATGGGCTGTGACCTCTGGATGCCCCACTTCAATCAGATCAGAGTAGTTCCTTGCTCATGTTTTGCGTGTTATGATTCTGCTTAAGATTTCTCTTGATAAAAACAATCTTCTGCTTGAAACTGTGTCTGCTGACTCCGTATCAGGTGCTCTTGGTCTGCCTGCAGACCTCCACCCCCTCACCAGGCTTCCTGGGAATTCCACTGAGCCTGAGGCAATGCCCACAAGGATGATGGCTGCCTGAGTCCAGCCTGTTCAGCTTTCATAGTGTTCCCATCGATGGAGAAGGGACAAGCACAGTCTTATCCAATCTGAGGTTAGCATGGGTCGAGTCTCAGCTAAGACCTGGGAATCTCCTGGATTCCATTTAGTGCCCCTAGAAGACACCCCCTCCCCCTCATCCATCACGCTGCTCACAGACTGGAGTAGCCACAAGTAAGTAGGAGGGTGGTGGGCAGGACAGAGGGGCGGGAACCAACACAGAGATGGATACATGTCCTTTATCGAGGATGACAAACCAAAACAAAACCAAAAAACCCCAAACATGTAAAAACCAAGGGTGCTAGAAATACAAACTCAATTCATTCAAACTCAAGCTCATCTAGACCCTGGTCACAAGCCCTCGTGAGGTGCACGTGAGCACCAAGTCAGGGACAGGGGACAGGAGTGAGGCCAAGGAAGGGTGGGCAGGGGGCCCTAACAGGCCCCCTAGTGACCACCCCCACACTGGCACCTCCACCTTCCCAATGACGGGGAAGAGCTACCGGGCCTTGTCCCTGTGACCCCCACCCCACCCCTGGCCAGAGCTTCGAAGGCCAGTCCCAAATGGTTCTACCCTCCCTTGCTGCATCCTCACTTGCTCAGGCTTCTCGCCTCACTCTTCTCCTCCTCCACTTTCTTCTGTGATTAGTAGCAGGTTAGGATACTGTATAAGCCGCAGTGTGGCTGGGGGCCAGGGGAGGCTGGGTGGAGACGGAGCGAAGAGAGGAGAAGAGCTGTCCAGGGACCCCCTCTCTTCACGGGATCCCGAACTGTACAACCAGCTCCTCTTTTGCGTCCACACGGATCTGAGAAAGTGCGCTGTAGGCATAAGCAGCTATCCTGGAGACCTGGGACAGGGGGACGGGAAGAGAGAAACAGAGGAGTGAGAAGGGAGATCCAGAGTGGGAGAGGGGGATTGGATGGTCAGGGAGGAGGGAATGACGGGGGAGAGGCAGCCAAGGAGAAAGGCACGAATTGGAAAGAGGTGCAAAGAACAAAGGGTAGAAAAAGAACGAAGGGTGAAGAGCGGGCATGGGGAGGAGAGAAAAAGAGTGAGGTGGGAGAGACCAGGGCCCACAGGCCACCAGGGTCCCTCCCTCTACTCCTCCACCCCCTCAGAGGCGGAGAGGGTGGGGCGAGGGGTGGCTCACCTGCTGCAAGTCGGAGAGGGGGACGGGCTCGCTGGCCAGCACTTGGTGGGGCTGGCTGGTGAGAGACGGCAGCGGTGGCAGCTTCTTCCAATGGGTCAGGCTGCTGCTCAGCACAGCCAAACGGGTGCTGGCGGAAGGGAGGGGAGGGTGGGGACAGGCAGTCAGGCCACAGTAGTTGGCCCAACCTGCCCAGGCAGGCCTCATCCCTCAGACCAGAGAAGCAGGTGACAGGGCCCTGGCTCACCGCAAAGCCTCTTCAGGCCCACCTCCTTTGCTCTCCACACCCTTGGAGGTCACAGGGCAAACTGGGTCAACATGAACATTGACTGACACACCTGAGTGATTTGTGGCCACCCTCCTGGGCCACACCCAAACCAGGAGCCTGGACTGGGGCCCGGGCTCCAAAGCTGGAGCAGAGGGAGGAGGAGGGAGGAGGAGGGAGGGGCCCAAGCAGCCCACGGGCTCCAGGCTGGCCAGGAGCTCACCTATACTGCCGGGCCCGGTCCATGTACTCGTGCTGCTCCATGCCCTGGGAGTCTGCAGCAGACACGTCGATGATGTTGCTTCGGGGAGGAGGAGAGAGAGGACGTGAAAGGTGCTTCCAAGAGGGCCGAGCAAGACTCCCTGCCAGATGATATCTCCAGGGTGATCTGACAATCGTGTCTTTGCTTCCCCACAGGAGCATGACTGGGTTCAGGAGTGCCTCTTCCCACTGACCTTGGCCCGTCCCCTGCATCCTGGGTCTGACCCCCCCATCCCAGTCTTTAACATGCATGGAGGAGGGCTGTCCCAGGCCCGGTCCTGTGATGCCCACCTGGCTGTCTTGGCAAGGATGGAGGAGAGCAGCGCCTGCTCATCGGTGCGGGCAGAGGGCAGGCTGTGATAGTTGGGCTCGGCTCCATTGAGGGCTTTGGTGGGTGGGCTGCTAGGGTCCAGCAGCAGCTTCCGCTCCTCTCGGTCCTAGGAGAGACCAGAGGGGAGACATCAGGCCCGCGGCCCTTAGTTCAATCCACCTGTATTGGGCTCTCCTCTTAGCCCAGCTCTGACGTTTAAGCACCAAAAATGTTTTATTAGGAACACCCCAAGTGCCCAACTGTACGGAAGCATCCGCTCCAGGACCGAGATCCTGCTTGCCTTTGGGAGCTAGGCTGGTGGTGGTCTAGGATGAGCTAAAGTGGAACCAAGCAGTCCTAGAGGCCCTGAAAAGATGGACAGAGGCACAAAGCAGGTATTTAGTCACAGCCTTGCAGCTTCAGGAAACAGTCCAGCACCTGGTGGAGAAGGGATATTGAAGGCTGGAAGCCAGAGAAGGTAGAAAATACCAAAACAGTGGAGTCTAGAGGGGACACTGATGCAAGTCAGGAGCCCAAGTATGGCCCACCTGATCCCCCAGACCAGATCCTCCCTGGTCAGACTGTCTGCTCCCACGATGGAGAGGCCCTGTGGGGCCACACAAGGCCTTGGGCCCCAAGGGGAACCTCTCAATGGCCATTCCTCATATTACCTCAGGAGTCTCAGCTGCAGGCTCTAGTCCCACCATCCAACGGTTCCTTCTTGAGGGCAGGACGCTTCTACTCTCAGGAGTTCACTCTCCTTTCCCCTTTGCGTGGGATTCCCAGGACCTAACTCGGTGCTCCCAGTGTACCTTTACTTGAACACGGAGCTGCTCCCTCCCTCACCAAGCCCCCACATCTCTGTGAATGGGCCTTCCTTAGTGTCAGAGTCCTGTTTCTGCTGGCCCATGCCAATTACCACAACCCCTGAACTGACCTGAGACCAAACCAAGTCTCCCTGGTCCTATATAATGCTACATATTATTTCTCCTCATCTTGTTTTAGTCTTTTGATATAATCTACTGTGATCTTTTTGAATACAACCCTGCCTTGAGCCCATCAGCTGTAAATCCCTGCTGGCTTTGTGTCAGCTGCAAAATGGATAAGCCATCATGCTGGGTATCCAAAGTATAAAGAACAAGTGTACACAGGACGATGCCAGGGACAAGGGGCCATCCTGACTAGAGCTGACTCACCAGCCTTCAGTGCTAGACCACCAGACTCCTTAGTGCTCCATTCCAGGTCCATCTCAGTTCCTATTACAATCTTTCACACTTGCAGGCTCCCAGTTGCCCTGCCAACAGCTCCTCAACTCTCCTTACCACACTTCCTCCTGCCCCACCCTAGGCAAGGTCAGTCCTTTGACATTACTCTTCTTTCTCAAGCCTAGGCTGCCCATGTCCTTAGTTCCCAACAGCGTGAGACTGAAGCTCTAGGCTCCTGGCTCATCAGCTCCCAAATCCTTTAGACATCCCCTGACACACCTAAAACGCAGGCTAAGTATTAAAGAACTTGAAAGACAAAATCTGTGCCAAAGATTAAACTATCTCTAAGGAAAGCTGGCTCCATAATAAAGCCTGAGTTGCTTTCTATATGTCCATCTTTTCCCCAGCCCCACTTCAGACAGATGCTCCTGCAGGACAAGGCCACTTCTCCCCTATCCAGGGTTCTTCAAGAACAAGGCTGTTCTGGGTTTCAGTGGTAAAGAATCCACCTGTCAATGCAAGAGAGACAGGTTCGATTCCTATCTGGGAAGATCCCACTTGCCACAGAGAATTAAGCCTGTCACAACTACTGAGCCTGTGCTCTAGAGCCCAGGAGGGCTCTGTGCAACTACTGAGCCCGAGTGCTGTAACTACTGAAGCTGGCATGCCCTAGAGCCAGTGCTCTCCAACGAGAAGCCACCACAATGAGAAGCCCACACACTGCACCTTAGATGCCGCTCGCCACAACTAGAGAAAAGCCCTCACAGCAGTGAAGACCCAACACAGCCAAAGAAAAGAAAAAGAACAAGATCGTTTTCCTGAGACCTAAACTCGTGGAAGAGGCCATGCTACCACCATTAGAGTAGACAAATAACATTGCCCCCACCCCCAAAAGGGTGAATGGAACATGGGGGAGGGTTTTTCACACCAATATTTGTCCTCAAGTCAACGTCAACCTGGGAGTAGTGTTTCACCATCTTCTCTTCACAGACATGTATGTGGTCTGCCTATGACTAGCCACCTGGTCTGTGGGCACAGCTAGAAGACACTGCTTAGCCCAGTGGATAAAGACATTCCTTGGCATCAAAACACCTTGCCTGTAGCGCTTCTGAGTTTTGTGTGTGCATGTGTGTGTCTGCTCAATCAGTCGTGTTCAACTCTTGAGACCCCATGGACTGTAGCCCACCAGGCTCCTCTGTCCATGGAATTTTCCAGGCAAGAATACTGGAGTGCATTGCCATTGCCCACTCCAGGGGACCTTCCCGACCCAGGGATTGAACCTGCATTTCTCTCGTCTCCGGCAATGGCAGGTGGATTCTTTACCACTGTGCCATCTGGGAAGCCCTCTGTTTTATAAGCTTGGCTAAATCACTTAGGCTCTCTGAACTTTTTCTTCACCTTTAAATAGATATAACTAAAAAACCTATATGACAGACGTTGGACAAGAGTCAAGCAAGATTAACTGTAAAAGATCTCTGAAAACTGTAACATAATGTACATTTCTTTTTATTATTATAACAAAGAGTCCAATATGAGAATGGGAGAGAGGCCTGCCCAAGACCTAAGAGAGTGGACAGTGAATGGTTATGGCTTATAGACTAGGTAAGCAGACCTTCTCCACCTGAGGCCTCAAATCACCCAGGACAGGGATTTTCCTGACAGTCCAGTGTTAAGACTTTGCCTTCCAGGGGGAGGAGGTTCAATCCCTGGTCAGGGAGCTAAAATCCCACATGCCTTTTGGCCAAAAATCCAAAACAGAACAGAAGCAATACAGTAACAAGTTCAATAAAGAATTTTAAAATGGTCCACAGTTAAAAAAAAAAAAAAAAGACTTTAAAAAATATCACCCAGGACTGATCAAGCACCATCTCTGGGCACTAGAACCAGAAGTGAAAGCCCATCAAGGGGAAGGTGGGAGGTTCAGGACAGTAGAAATTTCAATTAGAAGCTGGTATCCTTTCTCACAAAAAGTTAACCCTTGACTCATTCTGTGCAAGAATCATTATACTTTATGGGACAATTTCGCATTAGGCCATAGCTTTCCCGTAGGCACAGGTATTGTCTCCCAATTTCTAACCAGAGGAGGAGAAGTGTGAAGTACTGCCTTGATGGCATGCCTAACATAAGGCATAGAAATACGAACATATGTTCACTGGGTGTTTGGAGACTTAAGTGAGATCCAGGGGCCACCCGTACCTCCCATATAAATGACTTTTCCCCAAGCTTAAGTCTTTGACCCAAAATAGATTCATGTGAGTCACTGGGGAAGACCTACTTCCCCTATACCAGTGACATAATCCATTTCTGTGACCATCTACTTCTCTAGACTGTGAACTACTTGTTGAAATCTTTCTACAGTTTTCCTGTCAATATGTTTTGAAATGTAAAATCCAGGCTCAGTGGCAACCAAGACCGCAAGTGAGACTTGGGACTTCATCTTGAAAAGGTCTCGCCGTCCTCAAAAAGGTCAGGCAGGCAGGGCAGGGATTAAAGTGTAGCAAGAAGTGAGAATACACTAAGGGGAAGAGGCAGAATTTAAAACTGTACAGGCCGCCCCAGCCTAACCCTTTCTGCCAAGGAATCAGATCTACAGCCGAACACCCTGAACACCCCTCTAGTTACAGGAGCCCTCAGGCCCCAGGCAGGTACTGCACTGAGGCAGCCCAAGTGAGCTCCCATCCCACTTCTCTTTGCCCGCAATCTAGCCAAAGCTAAACCCATTTTGTTGCCTTCCAAATTCCCACCGTCTCAATGCCCTCAATGTGTCTATTAAATCCTTCACTCATCAGCTTAAATGACACCAACTTCCAGAGGCCTTCCCTGACTCCAAACCAGCAGTGACCTTCCTTCTTCAACCCCAAGGATTCAGAGTATACACAGATTCCTGATTCATATCGGGACAATCTAACTCAAGAGCCTCAGCTTACCCACCTCTACAATGGACTCACAAAGCCCACTAATACAAGCACAGAGAAGGCACAGCAGCTAGGAAGGGAGTGCTTCCCAAAGACCGAGGTTGAGGACCCCTGAAGTTGTAAACGTCTCAAAGTAGGGGAAGGGGCGGGAGCGAGCGGGACAGGCGGCTGCCTGCACATCTTAACGTGGGGGGTGTGCAGAAAGAACTGGGGCTTTAAAAGGAATAGGAGCCCTGCCCGGCGTCTCCTCTGTAATCTGTCCCCTCCGGGCCTCCGTACTCAGTAAGCCCTGCAGTCCAGGTGACCCTCTTCTGCAGGCTTTTCTCTGGGCCCCATGCCCCAGGATCTCAGCCCTCATTCCCGCGCCCCGCCCGCGGCGGCCGCACCTGGTCCGAGTCCTCGTTTTCGCTGCTGTAGCAGCACCCCATGGCGGGGGTCGGGCCGGGCGCTCAGGCCGCGCCGAGGAGGGACGGCGTCCGTCACGAGCCCTTCCGGTCACATGACCGGCGCCAGCAACCAGCAAGTAACCACCACCCCCGTGCCTACCCCTTCCCGGAGCGGCTTCGCTGCCGCGGCTGCCGCCGGAACCCAAGCTTCCGGCCCCGCCCCTACCACGTGATCATAGCCAACCAATGGGAAGGTACACCCTGCGTGACAGGCCGTGAGACACGTGATGCAAGGAAAGGGAGGGGTAGATCACATGACTTCAGCTTTTGCCGGTCTCAGCTGGAGACGTCCACTGCGGGGGTGTAAAGGTCCTCGTGTGAAGTGTATGAGTTCCCGAGGCCACCAGGCTATATCTGTGGGCTAGTGAATGAATTTATAACAGTTGCGGTCATGAAATACTCTCCTGAATGAGGCGAGTGGAATCCAGGCCCTGCGCTCCAAGAGCGCACAGTGTGGGTACACACCCATAGGCCTAGTTGGCTCGCGCCAGGCCCCGCCAGGCCCGGGCTCCCGCAGCGGGTGTGGCACCCAACCTGGACTAGGGCTCTGAGACTTACTGGAAGAAGGGTTTTTATACTTTCACAAACTGAAGCAGAGAGGCGCTCAATCCTGGTGGCGGAGGTAGAGGCCACCTCACTGATTTCTTTGGCCTGAGGCATTTCTTTTCAATCCTGCCTTTTTACAGCAGAGTAACACACAAAGCTTATAGTCAGTGCTTTTAGAACCATCACACATCTTCCGTTGGACTCTGAACACAAGTCCAAGACTGTCGTGCAAGATCTTGCAGTTCCTGCCTTTCCAACCACAGGGAAATACTTAGGAAGTTTCTTGATTGACTTTCTGGTCTTTGTACGCATGGGCTGACACACGGTCTCTCCCACCTGGTCTGCTTGCCAACAGTCCACTTGTTCATGGAGCATGCATTCTAGTGATCACCGTTATATTTTATTCTCTGTCCCTGTATCAATCTCTTCTACCAAAGGTGGAGTTCCTGGGGACAGGGACAGGATCTGATTCTTCTCTGTGACTCAATCCTTAGCACTGGCTTAGAATTTGGAATTAATAAATTACACCCCCCCCCCCAATCACCTTGGCTCACACCTTGTCTTGAATCAAGGGATTGGAGAAAATGTCACCAAACCAAGTAGTTCTCTTATTCCTCAAATCAAGGTCCTGGAGTTCCGAAGTTCTTTGAGGGATCCTGAAGGGTAGGAGGCAGTTCCAGCACGTCCTGGGGCTGGTAACTTGAACGGCAGGTCTCAGGTAACAACAGCAGCCTCAGCATCAATAATTGAAAGCAAGTCCAGCCTGCCTTAGGGTTCTTCCTCACCCCAAGGACTCCCCCTCCTGTCCTATGCGCTGATCTTCCCGAGCGGGAGCATCCAGCCCAGGTAAGCAGGGCCCTGGAATGTGGGTTCTCAATCACACCAGTTCAGATTCACCATCACCCACCTACCTATTGGCTTCCCTTGTGGCTCAGCTGGTAAAGAATCTGCCTGCAATGCAGGAGACCTAGGTTCGATCCCTGGGTTGGGAAGATAACCTGGAGAAGGGAAAGGCCACCCACTCCAGTATTCTGGCCTGGAGAATTCCATGGACTGTATGGTCCATGGGGTTGCAGAGTCAGACACGAGTGAGTGACTTTCACTTCACCTACCTATTAACCCCATTCATATATGCTTTTTAGTATCCCCTCCCCCCAGCTACCACCAGTGGTCTCAAAAGGGTAAGATGGTCCAGGGCACAGGAGAAGACCGAGTCCACGGGGATGGAGGGGGTTGGGTGTCTTGGGATGTGGGATAGAAGAGGCTGAGTTAGGGGAAAGTGTGTGCTGTGTGTCTATGTGACTGTGAAGGGAATTCTGAGAGAGGACAGGGGAGGGGAGTGCAGGAGAGGGGAGACAGAACTGGAGAATAAATATGCCAATCAAGGACCATTCTCACCTTCCAGGGAAATGCTGACAGAGGGAGAGTTCTGTGGTGGTAAGGATATCTCATCCTAACACACTATGGAGTATTTTGATGGCCTTTTACTGACACAGAGTAGTGACAGTGAAGGAGTTCCTGACTACAAAGTTGTGCTATTTTGTTACACAGTAATGGGTCTGAGAACAAGCAGGCACTGGGTAAGGTGGGAGAAGAACTCAGGCAGAACTGGTAAAAGGGGTCCTGAAAAGGGAGACTACAGAGATGATGCAAAACTGATGAAGGGAGCAAGGTGAAGATGAACCAGGGTCCAGAAGTGGGAAGAGATGTTTGGGATTGGGTGCTGAACTTAGGTGGCATGGAGTCCTTGAAAGTGTATGGGCTTGGAATCAGACCAGCTTGGATTCAAATCCTAGTTCTTGTGTGACTCTGGACACGAACTTAGCCTTTCTGAGCCATGGTGTGTAAAATACAGGGATAATTGCCACTGGTAGGGGCTGCACAAATGACAGGCAAGTGACGTGTGTGTTTCCCTCCCTTCCTCCACCCCAGGGCCCAGGTAGGGACCATGTCCCCTGCCATTGCGCTGGCCTTCCTGCCCCTGGTGGTGACATTGTTGGTGAGGTACCGGCATTACTTCCGACTGCTGGTTCGCACAGTCTTGCTCCGGAGCCTCCGAGATTGCCTGTCAGGGCTGCGGATGGAGGAGCGGGCCTTCAGCTATGTGCTCACCCATGCCCTGCCTGGGGACCCTGGTCACATCCTCACCACCCTGGACCACTGGAGCAGCCATTGCGAGTACCTCAGCCACATGGGGCCTGCCAAAGGTCAGTGTTTCCTAGCCTTCTGCTCCAGGAAGCACCTCCAAGATGGTGAAGAAAGATCTGCGATCTGCCACTGTCTTACTGGGTGACTTGAGCAGATTCTTGATCTTCAATGGGTCTCTTTTATTCTCTGGAAAGGAGGGAGCTGGGTAAAATTACTCATTCATCCAGTAAAATTTATCACCACCTGTTTTGTATCAGACATGTGCTAAGTGCTGGGGAAGAAAGAGGTAGAAGCCACAGGGATGAATCAGCCACAAAGGCTGGCCTCAAAGTGGGAATAATACAAGAGAATAACCATCTCAGCACATAACCCATAACCTTATAATTATGGGTCTGTAATTCTCCCCCACCATGGAGGCTCCCCCATCCCATTCAGGGTAGCTGTTTGCTTGGATTTGTCTGAATCCCACCTCCCAGCACATGTGTTTTGGAGTCTTATTTAAGAGATTCATCCAATTCAATGGTTAGAAAGGTACTTCAGTGCACAAAACAAGGGAGAATGAAACTGGAAGGTCTAACAAAGATCTTTTAGGATTTTGGTGGTGCTTTCCATCTGGGCCCTCCTGGAGAAAGCAACATTTGAACTGAGCCTAGAGTGACTACTTTCGAGCTGGCCAGGTAGTTGAGGATAGAGGTGGAGAAGGACAAAGCCAGCCATGTATCTGAATGTGGCATGAAGGAATGAGCCAGCATGATTGACTCTGGGTGCAGTTGTTCAGGATGGTTGTGGTGGGAAGAATTGAAAGCTGAAACCGGAAAGGAAGGACAGGATCAGGTCTAAGAAAGTTCTGAATGTCAGGCTGAGGAGCCCATGTTCAATCCCAAAGGCCTTTAGGATCATAGGAAACAGGGAGCAATAGGGTCAGATTTGTTAGAAAGATTCCTAGTGGCTGGTGTGAAGAAGGCAAGCTTGGAGGGGCAGGGAGACCAATGGGGCTATTAGGACTATAAACCAAAAAATAAATGAGATTCTAGCCAGTTGGGGGCTACAGTGAGGCATTTGAGACTCCTTTCTATGAGGCCCCCTGCATCATCTCCCGTGTCTGCTACAATAGCCACTTCCTCCCATAGGTCAGATCCTGATGCGGCTGGTGGAGGAGAAGGCTCCTGCCTGTGCACTGGAGCTGGGCACCTACTGCGGGTACTCCACACTGCTTATTGCCCGTGCTTTGCCCCCTGGGGGTCGCCTTCTCACCGTGGAGCGGGATCCACGCACGGCAGCAGTGGCTGAAAAACTCATCCGCCTGGCTGGCTTTGATGAGCACACGGTCAGGCCCCACCTCCCCAATCCTGATCTCTTTCCTACCACCCTAGGCCTTACACTAGTCAGCCTCCCCAGTCTCCCACCTAGGAGAAAGAAACAGCTTCTCTTAGGAACTATGACCTTGGAGAGTGTTTGAGTTCTTATCTTCCTCTTCCAAGTCACTGGCACATATTTGCTGCTGGCTGACAAAGAAGCAGTTAAGAGGAAAGTCTGGAACCCATCTGGGACCTAACCTTAGTCTGCCTCTTGTTAGTTATGTGATCCTGGGCAAAGCACTTGTCCTCTGAACCTCAGCTGCTTCAGTGGTAAAATGGAAATCACAATTCTGATTCTGATTTCTTGTTCTGAAGCCAGAGGAAACATGAGAACATACACAGGGACCTTGGCCAGAGCCTGGCACAAAAGAGCCAAATGCCAGTGGGGTCTGGTGTGGGAGAACAGTCATCCCTCCCAACCTCACCTCCAGTGCCTCCCCCTGCAGGTGGAGCTCATCGTGGGGAGATCAGAGGAGGTGATCCCACGCCTAAGAACCCAGTACGAGCTGAGTCGGGCTGACCTGGTGCTCCTGGCGCACCGGCCCCGATGTTACCTGCGGGACCTGCAGCTGCTGGAAGGCCATGCCCTGCTGCCAGCTGGTGCCACTGTGTTAGCTGACCATGTGCTCTTCCCTGGTGCACCCCGCTTCCTGCAGTATGCCAAGAGTTGTGGCCGCTACCGTTGCCGCCTCCACCACACTGGCCTCCCTGACTTCCCTGCCATCAAGGATGGCATAGCCCAGCTCACCTATGCAGGGTCTGGCTGAGTCCAGGCGCAGGGGTACTTACTGCTGCCTCCCCCCACCCCTCCCCAAGCACGGACCTCAGAATATCCCCTCCCCTCCCTTTCCTGCTTGTGGACTGACACATGCTGGGCTCAGGGCTAGAGGGGCTCTCCTCCCACCTCTGTCCCACTCTGGCTCCACGATAACCTGAGGCCTCAAGTTCTGTCAGGCTGTTTGATTCCATTGGTTCCTCTCCTTCCAGTCCAGAGTCATGGACTGACAGGCAAGAAGCTTGAGCTCCCAACCCAGCCCTGTCACTAATTTGCTGGGTTACTCCATGGGAGTCTCTGCCCTGTTCTGAGATTTAATCTGTTCTAACCAAAGAAGTTGACTAGGAGAGTTCAGGGGCCTCTCAGTTCTGGGCCTCAGAGAACCTGCCCCCCAGTATCCCCAACCCCATGCCATTTCGGGTGGAATCAAAGGAAGCAGTAAACACTGAGTTAAGAGGCCTGGCAGAAATGGCTGGGTGCAATCTGGGCCAGAGGAAATGGCATTGAAGCCTCAGCTCACAGCCAGGGCTACTCTGGCCTTCCTTAGCCCCAGACCACACGGCCAGGTAGATCCGCCTGAAGTCCCTTGAATACCCTTTCCCCAAAGCTCAAGAGAAGACGCTGGACTCCTCTAGGTTCCAAAAACAAATAGGGAATAGACATGGGGAAAAAAATCAGTCCTGTGTCTTTATTAAAGTTAGAAAGAGACTAGATCTGACAAACAAGGGGTGAGGTGCTGGCTAGAAGGGAGGGGGCTGGGCTCAGGCCCTGGGGATTCAAGGGCATACTGATGGCCTGGGAGGGACCAAGAAGATCAGGTCCTGGCAGCAGCTGAGGAAGTGCCCGAGGATGAGCATTCAGGCACTGGGGTGGGGCATGGGGGTGGGTGATCAGCTGGTTCTGCAGGAGGTCCAGGGCCATCCTTGGACCCCCTTTCTTGTCTACCTAGATCATCCACTGGTCCTGATCCTGTTCGTTGCCTTCCATGTCCACCTGAAGAGGAGGCTGGGTGTGGGTGGGGAGGGGCCTCAGCCACCCAGCCAGCCCCAGTCCCAGATCCTGCCCCTGGCGGCATCCAGGGTTTCCGTACCCTTGGCTGCCAGTGAGGTCAGGGACAGGGGCCCTCCCCCACACCCCTGCCTACCTCATTGACCTCTCCATCATCAGGTGACTCATTGTAGTCATTCATCTCATCCATGTCCTGCATGTCCTCGTCATCCTCTGAGTCCTCTTCACTATCCTCATCGTCATCTTCATCTTCCTCTTCCTCATCGTCATAGTGCTGGTGAGGCAGGGAAGAGCCCGGAGGTTCTATAGGTCTGCCTGGGCCACTTCAAGGACTGGCCCACTTGGAGCTTCTCTCTGGGGCCAATGAATGAGCTCCACTCCTGATCCTGTCCCACTCGAGTCTAGCTGGTTGGTGCACGGCCTTAGTGCTGAGCCCACTACCCACCCTCTCTCTCTCCTCTTTCTAGCCTCCACCAGTTGAGGACAACACCTACTCTGGCGTCAGAGGTCAGACCTTCAGAATTAGAGCAGAGCTTCAGTCCACCTGAGCAGCCCCACATAGGCCCCACCTGCTAGAGCCACTCACCTCTGAGGCCGGCTTGCCAATAGGTACCAGGTTGTTGTCTTTCTCTGCAATGCTCTGGAGCTGTGGCCAAACAGGGAGGAGAGCAAGGCTGGGGCCCAAGCAAGGAAGTCAAAGGCATGGCACTCACCTGCCCTGCCCCCAAGAAGACCCCCAAGTGTGGAGGAGAAGCTTCTTTCCAACTCTCAGGAAGATTCAGTCTGTTTCCTGTCATCTGCCACTTACTTATGAATTTGATCTAGCTATGTAAACTCTCTGGTCTTTGGTTTCCTTATAAGATTATGGTGAGAATGAAGTGACACTACCAGCCTAGAACATGACATCTGCAAAGTCCTCAATAAACAGTCAAAAAATACTTTGTGTGTTGTAGGGAAAAGAGCCTGGGCTCTGATCTGGCCTAGAGGTCCCACAGTCCTCAGCAAATTAGGGTAACACAAAGGTGAGAAGCTAGGCCCCCAGCTCAGGACAAAAACCTCCCCCAGGGCAGATCTGCAGGGTAGGGCCAGGTTAAGGCCAGTGAAGGGGGATGGGGAGCCTGACTGAAGCTCCACTGCTGTGCTAGGTTCTCACTCACCCAGGCCTGATGCTGCTGTTCTTGCTGCTGCAGCTCTGTCTCCTCCACACAGGGTCGATCCAGATTAAACCACAGTGTCTCAGTCACACGGGGGAAGAGTGAGGGGAACAAGGTGGACATGGCTCCTAGACTGAGGGAAAGGGTCAGGTGAATCCAGCTCTCTCAGATGTCTGTGGTTTTAGTTTTTATTTGCTTACATTTTGACTTGGGGATTGGGTGGAGTGTACGGTAGCAGAGACGCACCCTTTCCCTGTGGGAATCAGACAGACCTGGGTTTGAGTCCTGGCTCCACTTACTAGCTGTTTGACCTTGGCCAAGTCACTTAACCCCTGAGCCTCAGTTTCCTCATCTGTAAAATGGGACAGTAACAATTATACCACCCTCACCGTAATTCTAATAACTAGTAATTTACTTTATGGATAAGATGTTTGTAAGCTTTTCAAGGAAGGAAGAGAATGGAAGCCAGCTGTAGAGAGAGGAAACCAGAATGCAGACTGACATTACAAAATTCAACAAAATTAAAGATGGCGGGACTCTACTGAAACTACCTCTACACCCTCCAAACACCAGACCTACTTTCTGCTCCTCCATGCTGCCCCACCCCATACCTACCCAGTGTCAGAAATTCAGAACACGAACACCTCTGTAATGAACCACAGCTAAACTGGGGGGCAGGGAAGGGAGGTGTTACCACGTGCAAGTACAGCTCATAAGACATTCTAAAGGCATGAGTAAATAAGTAGATGAAAGACTGAACAGATGAACATGTGAGAGAATACATAAACTCAGCTCGGCTTAAGCGGCTGAAGGAGCTGACAAGGAAGGTCCCAGAGAATCTGAATTAAAACTTTTCAGCTCACAGGAAAACTGAGGCCCAGCAAAGGCAACGACTGGCTCTAGGTCACACGGTGTGGGGCTGCCGGGGCTGGCAGGCAGCCCGGAGGGTTTCGGTTTCCCCTGAAACGGTGGGATTCCCCGCCCCCATCGGGCCGCCTGGAGCCAGCCAATCAACAGGAGCCCTAAAGGGTACAAGGGGAACATGAGGGAAAGCGGAAAAGCCCCCCTAACGCCTAAGTTTGAACAAAAGCCCGCGAAAGTTCGTACCAATAGAATTGCTTTGCAAACATGTAACCAATCCGCTTAAGCCAGGTACCAACTGCTTATGTTCACCGTATAAATTTATGTAACAGCTGGGGCTCGGGGCTTTTTCTGACCCTGCACCACTGCATTGGTCGCGGCAGAAGCCCTGGCTCGAGTCAGTAATTCCCTTTTTTTGCGAGTTGCATTGTCTTGGAAGCCTTCTCTCTTCCCGCTTGGGGATTCGGACATCGGGCATAACACACGGTAAGCTGGGCACAGAACATTTGCGGGGAATAGATGAAGGCCAGGCACAAGAGATGAGGAGAAAAGAATCTATGCCTAATTCTGTTCTTGCCCTAATTTATTTGACCAATCCGGGGCTAGCTGCTGCCCTTCCATGTATCGCAGCTTCCCGGCGCATTTAACAGGATCAATAACACCCACCCCCACAACCAAGGAAGTACTGAAGAGCCATAGAACACGGCTCCGAAAGACCAACCCACCGCCGTAAAGCCACCACCCATTCTCTGCTTATTATGATAATAATTGTGGAAATGACCAACAAGAAGGCAGGGGCGGGATTCCGGCAGGCATTTGTCCTTATAGGGTCGCTAATCGCGAAAGAAGCGGGGCCTGGGTAAGGCCAATTAACTGGAAGAAATGCTGAGTGACTGGAAGTGGTACCAATGAGTGACTGGCCTTGTGTGACGGGGTGGGGCTTACTCTCGAGGAAGCGGCCAATGAGTTGGAGCGCTTTGATGTTAAGGGGAGTATGAACAGGCAGCTCCTGAGGAGGCGGATCAGGAGAATGGGGTTTCTCTGGAGATAGGGAAGGAAGGAAGGACGAGGAGACAGGAGCCGCAGCCTAGCTTCTGTACTTACCGCGCCGGGAGGCGGCAGCCGGCGGCGACCCGGAAGTACTTCTTTCTGCCTGACCGGAAGAGCCCACCAGAACCAGGGACACACCAAACGCATGCGTGTTTGCTCTTCTTTTGTTTCCCGCTCCCGCCCCGCCTGAGTGGAAGTGACGTTCCATTTGTTGGTCACGTGCTGGATGGAAATTTGGCGCGCCAGCTCTGTCGGCCCAGCCTTGAGTGTCAGCCAATCGGTCTCTCCAGCTTGGTCACGCCCCAACGGCCCCGTGCAGCCCCGCCTCTCTCTCCCCAGGCAGTACTTGCTAGCCAATCCCTGCTGAAAAATAGCTGGCGTTAGGACTTGGAGTGTTTGTCCTGCGTGCCAGGAAAATTAGTCTACTTGTACCTCAGAATCGCTGGGTGATTTTACTCCTCGCCGTTCCCGTCTGTCCTTTGTCTACTTCAGTGTCCCGTTTGGGTGCATACATTCATTTATGTGTGCCTTCAACGGAAATATTTGAGTCCCTATTATATTCTATATTCCAGGCCCTGCTAGAAGCGGGGGCTAAATCTAGGAACATGGTCCCTGCCTTCAAAGACCTCAGAGTCAAGTAGGGAAGCCAGACTCTGCAGACCTGCAGTGGGCTCCCTGGTCTTTTTTTGGGGGGTGGGGGGCGGGGGCGAACGGCAGCCCCAGGGAATGTGGGATCTTGTTCCCCGGCCAGGGATCCAACCAGCGCTCTCTGCGTTGGAAGCGCTGACCGCCAGGGAAGTCCTTTCAGTGGTCTCAAGATTGCCTTTCGAGGTCTGCATTCCAGATTTTGTAAGGGCTTGAGTGTTTACTCAGTCTCAGGTGCAGCATTCTGCTACTTGGAATTGAGCTGCCCTCTCCAGGTCTGGGCTAAATGCGCTTAGGGGTCATCCTTGTCACATCTCTCCCACTCCTTTGCTGATGCCTTCATTCTACTAACTTCTGTCTGACTCAGCTTCCCCTTCAGCGATCATAATACCTTCTGGCAACGGAAGTCCTTCAAACCCAGTGCCCATTAAACTCCATCACCCACCAGCCCATTTCAAGGCCAGCAATCATCCATCGTTTCATTACTGCCTTGACCAAATGTGTGCCTTTTAACAAACCCCTTTTGCATGTCTGGACTGAGTTTCCTCTTCTGCCCAGGCTTCTTCCTACCTTGGACTGATGTGAGAATTTGATGAGATAACATATTTAAGAGTTAGTGTACTGTGCATATGGACTCACATTGTTTCCAAGCAGTTCTGGTTATAAAGTTTTTCATTAAAGAGTAAAATTTGCCCCTTGGAAATGTCCACCTTTTTTTTTTTTTCCATTCATTCAACCAGTATCTACTGAGTACCTTATTTTATGTCTGTCACTATTCTAAGTAAAGAATGTACAATAGTGAACAAAACAGAACAACAATAACAAAATCATGAAGAGATTCATGCTGCTTCCATTTTAATGAGACAAAAAGATAGCTAAATAAAATATATAGTTTTAAGACTGTAGTAAATACTAAGGAGAAAAAATAGAGAAGTGGGAATAAAATGTTGGTAGAGGAGATGTTTTATCTTAGAGGGCCAAGGAAAACCTTACTGGGAAGGTGACTTTTGAGTAAAAGTTCAGAAGAAAAAAAGAAGACGGGCACTATTCTGATATTTAAGGAAAAGCACCAAGGCAAGAGCAAGTGCAAAGAGCCTCCAATGGCTGGAGCGTAGCGTTTTATGGTGTGAAGGGGAGAAGATGAGGATAGAGATATGAGCCAGAGAGGACAGCTTCACAGATCACAATAGCACTTTGGCTTTTACCCCATGTTCAGGATCCCTTGAAGGGTTATGAGCAGAGGATCCGCACAATCTGATTTACATTTGAACCGAGTTACTCTGGCAATTTTATAAAGAGAAATTCAGCTGGGGATAGTGGCAGAAGCAGGAAAAGACGTGAGAGGTGCTTGTTTTGGGGGGAAACACCTGGAGTCAATTTTGTGTTTGAGATGTCCTTTAGGAATGTTGAGGGAGTAGGAGGGGAAATAGTTCTGAAGGTGGAGGAAGAGATCAAGACTGGAAATAGCAGTTTAAGATTCATCAGCACATGATTGGTGTTTAAAGCCATGAGAGTGGATGAGCCCACCAAAGGAGTGAGTGTAGATGAAAGAACATTTCCTTCAAAATTCAGAACTTTGTGGAAACTAGGAAAAGCAGAAAACTAGACTGAGAAGGGCCAAAAAGATAAGCAGAAACCCAGGTAAGCTGGGTGGTGTCCTGGAAGCCAGGTAAAGAAAAGGGTATCAGGAAAGAGGTAGTGCTGCACTGTACTGGGGTTCTGTATTAAATTATTTCTGTTTCCTCAGTAGACCATGAGCTCCTTGAGGGCAGACACTGAGTGGTTTCTAAATCCTCAGAACCCAGTCTGACCTCTCCCGTCTTTTCGATCCCTTATCTCTCTATCACTGTTCCCATCAGTTGCTCCTTCTGCTTCTTAATTTAGTTACAAGGTCCCTATGCCTGGCACTCGTTACCTCCATCCTTCCTGATGGCTCTGGTCTGATGGAAATTCCCCACTAACAGTTTCTTACCTAGATCCTCAGCCAGGTTCAACAAGCCATGGTGGCTAGGGGGAGAGGGAAAGGAGAAGGAGAAATGGAAATTTGATGTGATACCCTATTTTTGGCTCAGGAAACTGAATCAATGATGGTACCATTTGCTTTACATTCATTATCCACTGTTTATCCTTGCCAAGTGTTTGACTTTTTTTCATTTCATGTCAAGGATGATAAACTAAGACTCTAAGGGAATTTCCTGATGGTCCAGTGCTTAGAACTCCATGCTTTATCTGCCAAGGGCTCAGTCCCTGGTTGGGGAACTGCAGGATCCTGCAAGCCTCAAGGTACAGACAAATAAATAAATAGAGACTCTGAAAGATTAAAAACTTGCCTCATAGTCCTTCACTTGTTCCACTGTTTGGTCTGTATTGTTTGAGTGCCAGCTGAGTTCTAGACACCTTGATAGACCCTGAGGACAAAGAGATGAAGTAGAAATAATCCATGTTCTAGAGAAAAATACAGTCTAGTGAAAACTAAGATAGTTATAGACCATTATAGGAGACAGTAGTCAAAATTAGTGTATAATGAAAGTGTTATAAGAGCACAGAGGAAGGAGAGATGAATGGGT